CAGCTCAGAGGCTGCACAGCCTGCAGCGGCCACCAGTAGACCCAGTCACTGGGAACGGAGCCACCCAGCAAACGCCCCTGGACTGCCCGTGTTACTGGCCACTTCCTGGGGCTCAGCAGCCACGATTCTGAACAGAATAGCCAGCGTGGCCGCTAGAGGCAGTTGCAAGGTTCAGAATGTAGGTTCTGAAGACAAGGCAACCCGGGTCTGGTCCAGGTCTGGTCCATCTACTCACTCAGGCCTCTGAGCCCACGATGTCTTCATTTGCAAATGAGACGAAACCCTCCTACGGCAAAATATGCCGAGGGCCTGGCAGAGTGCTCGACCCAGAACAGGTGATCAAGACTGTTTCTGTTCCATGTCCACCCTCACTGAGCAGGCAGGCCCATTTCCATATCCTCAAAGGTACCTGCACAACTTTTTTTCCCCTGAATATGAGGGAAGATTCTGATCCATCTCTTCTGAAAAGACACAGACTTTCTAAAAAGCACAGCTTAGAGAGACATGGTCGCAGGTGTTGCTACATCTCCCCATGACTGCAGGCACTGCCACCATGGACCAGGCCCTCTGCAGTCCCTCTTCAGACCACAGCCAGCAGGCAGGGCTAGAATCTTTGTGGTGGGGAATGCAGCTCCCCAGAATGTGGGGCGGCCCAGAGGGGAAGGAGGCCTTCCCATTATTGTCCCCAGGCAGCAAGCCAGCGGCCTCCTGGCACTCACAACTGGCCTCCCGAACTTGGGCTACAGACGTGGTGAGGCCTTCCTCCAGCACCACCCAGCCCTCCCCAGCCTTGGCAAACGGTAGCACCCTCTCCGGGCCACTGCTGCGAACGCCAGGGACGAGTTCCACCAGCGGAAAAGCTACCAAGACGAAAGGAGACACCGAAGGGGACAGCACCCCATCTCCGCACCCCTCCAGCAGGAGGCTGCTACTCTGGCAATGGAGCAGGAGAGAAATGGTCCACTCCAGAGCAACAGCTGGTAGGGGAAAGGGAAACCTGATTTTGCTTGAATTTCTGCAGGGGACGTGACCTGGGACACCAGGACTCTGCGAATACGTCCCGTGACAACAGAAGGCTAGCCTGGCCAACCATTTGGTCATATTCCCGATTCCTAAGCAGTCAGCAAGCCATGTTACTTGGAGGCACTGTGGTTCACCTGCCTGGCTCCCCGGATTCCAAGTGTCCCCCAAAGACCAGGAGAGCAACCTCCCTACCACTGAATCCTTCCCAGGGTGGCTGCCCCTAGCTCAGCAGGCAAACCAATAATAACTAAAGGTGTGTCAAGTTTATGCAAGGCCCAAGGGCCTGATCTGTGAGGACGAACAGCATCCCCTCTCCTTTCCAGAAGTTCGGGGTGGGGTAGGGGGACCATGGGGAGAGCTTGGGTACTCCACACAGCAGGGTTCTGACCTGGGTCACCCATAATCAAGCTGGGTGAAAGGCAAGCCCCACTGACCTTCTGAGTAGCAGCAGGGTCTTCCCCGGGGGGCCTCCTGGCTCCTGGGCAATTCCTCAGGGAAGGGGCCCCAACGCAGACTATACCCACCATACCTCCCCACTGTTGCCTTCCCAGCAGGCCCATGGGCAAGATCCTTCGGGAACTCCCTTCTCCAAGTCACTTGCATTGGAGGGGTTTCTCTCTAAAAGAGCATAAGGTAGGGAGACTTGGTATGCCATAGCCTCTTCTGGAAAGTGCTAGCAGGGAGGCAGAAAAGGGCAAAGTTACCACGCCTCTAAATGTGAATCTTCATGAGGCACAGTTATCTCCACAGAGCCCAGCAGAGACTTAGCCCACAAAGGATGAATACATGAGGGAATGAACTGGCATGGGGGTTCCAGGCCCAGATGTGAGGCCAGCCAGGTGTTCCTCTGTGAGCACATCTGGGAATGAGAACATTCTATCCCTCCTCCATGGAGTTCTCAGACCCCCTGGGAGGGTCTGATGGAGACAGGGCCCCAGCCTCCGCTACAATGAAGCGGCCTCACGGCACTGTTTACAGGTTCTGACTCTGAGTGCAGACTTTGTCTCCCCTTCCTCCCCACCTAGAGAGAAACAACTGTGTGGTGAAGGTTGGTGGATTTCTAGGAAATATCAGGAGGCTGAGAAGGACCCAGCAGCACCGGCTGGCAGATAGGAGGCAAACATTAAGCCCCAGCTCCTTCCACTCTTTTGAATCCCAAACAAGACCGCTATGCCGAATCTCGGACACCAGCAGGTGCGCCCGAGTCCAAGACTTCCAGGGGCCTCCCACATGCTGTTTCTGCCAGGGAATGCTTCCTCAACGAAGGCCAGAGTGGGCTGGGGTTCATTTCTCCATTCTGGGAAAAGTCGGATAAGCCAAGCCCTCTGGTCAGTCCCTTTCTTTAAAAGCCAGGAATCCAACGTTGCAAGCACGATCTCTGGGGGCCCTGGCCTGGCATATGATGAGAGAGGAGCCCACAGAACAGAAAAGAAAGCCAGAGCAGACATTGCCACTGCCCTGTCTACCTCACTGCACACTGGTGGGATTGTCTCCTAGCCTGGGTCAGCCATCTCCAGGAAACAAGAGCCAGCTCTGTCGAAGTACCTTCCCCTGAAGGTGGCGTGGGTTATGAATGCCACTGGACTCTCCCCAGGGAAAGCTGATAGGCAGAATCTTTTGGTAGTAAGACACGGACTTACAGGCTCGCAACACTGCAGGTTTCTGCCGTCTCATCCCCATTTTACAGATGGGAAAGCTTGAGGTTCAGAAGTCATGGGACTTGCCCAAGGTCGCACAGTGAGTCCCCAAACCTGAATCCAAAGCTGTCCACCACACTGTCCCTATCAGCAAAACTCTATGACTAATACACTTCTCCCCCTATTTCATCACTTTGGTAGATCTATTAGAACTATTTTTAAATGCGGACATGTTAACAAACGTTGGATTCAACCCAACTGAGGCCCCTTCATGAAACCACCAAATTTAGAGCCACAAGAGCCTGAAAAGATCCACTCCAGCCTCCCTGTTCAGGTTAGGAGGCTAAGGCCTCCAGGGTGAACTAGCTGGAGGCAGCCCCAGGGAACCAGTTTCTGAGATCTAAATTCCCATCCCAAAAAACAAAGCAGATCCTCCCTTTTGAGGGAATGGGATGGACCCAAACCCACATCACAATGGAAAGAACAGGGACCTGGGTATTCCCCTTTGGGACTTTGGATGGGTTTCTGGCTACCAGAGCCCATCCTCCAATAAACCCTCGGGAGGAAAACCACTGAATAAACATAGCCCAGAGACCTAAAGAATTGGATGCTTTGGGGTGTCCTGATGCCATACCTTTGCCAAAACAAATGACTCTGGAAGTCAGGGTACCCAGAGGGCAAGGCGCGGTTTCCAGAGAATGAACAGGAACTGGTTCTCCTGTATCCACTCTGTGAACCAGGAGCTTCTCTGAGTGATATGGGGACAATCCGAGAGAGGCCCACACAGAGAACTTTCTCTCGTCTCAGTAACACAGCAGTCCAACCAGACACATGCTGCCGGACAACGATCCCTCCTCCCACATCGAAGCCACACAGGCCCCCTATTGTGTCAGTTTAAAAACTGAACTTTGCTGGGCAAACACATTCGGCTGTGTTCAAGAAACCAGTTTCTCTCACCACTTGGGAAACAGCAGCATGCATGCAAGAAGGGACAGCTGGGGGGGTGGGGGGTGTTGTTGGTTGGTTTGTTTTTTAAGCAAAGCCCTGGTCATCACTGCTATAGCAACTAGAACAGAAAGGAGACTAGCCAGCACCGATTAGATAGATGCTTCCAATGTTCCTGGTTTTGTAGCTCTTAAGAAAACAGAACTGCAGGAGAGAAGTCATTTTGGATCAAACAGGGATTCCAGCTTCTGGTGTGCTCAAATCACGGGCTGGCCCTCTGACAGCTGGCGAAGGCAATCAGCAATTGGGTGGGAGGGTGGGGTTGAGAAACTAAGGTTCTAATAAAACAAAACATCCCCAGATTTGCAGAAGGCCAGATGTGCCAGTGCAAGGTGGAAAGAAGATGGGGTAGCAATTAAGTGGTGCCTGGCATTTCACAGCCTTTCCAGTCTCTGGACAAAAGCTAGTTGGGAATGCACTAGTTTCCCTCTATTGTGTATGGGGGAGGGTGAGTCTCCCCCACCCCACCCCTTCTGAGAACCCAACCACCCTTCTGACTGGTTCTTCCAAACCCTTTAAATACTGCACTTCCCGGCTATAATTTGAGGGAGGAGGGCCTGCAGATCTGATTTCTTCTTTACACCGGAGACCGGCTCCTCCAAAACCCCTTAAATAGTGTCATCTTCCCACCAAAGGCGTCGTGCCCCAGAACAGTCCTCCCTAAAGCAAAATCCAGTGTGTGAGGAGGAGTGGGGGAGTCGCTGGGTAATTATATTTCGAGCAGTGAAATGCTGTGGCTGTGCGAAAGGAAAGCACCAAATGCCTGAACGGTAAAAATGCAGTTTCAGCAAACACGTTTCTGAAAAGCGGCAGACAAAAATCCTGGGAGGAGAGGAAAGGAAGGAACAAGCCGGAGTCTGGGGCGTGAGGGGAAGACACACAGAGAGAGAGAGAGAGAGAAAGAGAGAATGGCGGGCGTGTGGTCACACTTTAGGGGGACCCCCCACGCCTCGTCACCCCGGCCCACGGCTGCTCGTCACAGTCACAGAGAGAAAAGTCCAGGGTGTGACTCAGTGGGAGAATGAGTCCTGCAGCCCCGCAAAATGGAAATGGGGTGGGGGCAGAGATGGGGAAGCACGGGATGCCCGCGGGCAGCCCACCCCGCCCACGGGCGCCTCCAGCCTCCACCCCAGTTCCCACTCCGCCCCTCCCCCTCCAAATCCCGCCCAAGGTGAGGAGCTGGTCGTGGGTCCCCAAGCCGCCTCATCAGCGAGTGGAGGAAGGAGAGGAAGCCTCAAAGGGGCGACCCGAGCTCCAGGATGCATCTGGAAACGAGTGCACATGGGCAGCGAGGGAGGTGCTGGGGGCCGCTTCCCGGGCGCGCGGCCCCCTTACCTCCAGAGTCCGGATCTCCTGCTGGGTGAGGTCGTTGGACACCGCGCACTTGGTACGCAGCCCGCGCAGGCTGCCGATGGAGATGTCGATGAGCTTCTGGAGCTGCCCGCACTGCTGCAGCGCCCGGCTGGCTGCGGCCCCGGGGCCCCCGTCGGCCGCCGCCGCGTCCCCCCCGCCGCGGCCCTCCTTCTTCTCCCCCATCGCCGCCGCGCGCAGCGCTGCTCTATCCATGCCTCGGCATCGGGGCCGCGGGGTGGCCGAGGCGGAGAGCCCGGGGGGCGCGGGCGCCTCGGGAGGGAATCCGCGAGCGGGGAGGGCTGGACCAGGAGCGCCCCTCGGCGCAGCCGGAGCCCGGACGCTGGGACGACCGGCCGCAGAACCCGCTGCTCACGCCGACCGAGCCGCGGCGGCAAAGCGAAAGCCGCGGCGACCCGACGGCTGCGGCTCGCGAAGCTTTTAAGTGGCCGCGGGGGCCGGGTCAGGGGAGCTGGGCATGCTGGGACTTGTAGTCCGCGCCGCGCACCTGCCGCCCCGCCCGCGCCCTCGGGGCGGGGATCCGCTTCCAGAGCCCTGAGCCCCTCACCCTGTGGTCGAGACTTTCCCCCTCCGCTGCGGGCTCTGGCTGTGCGAGACCGCCCCGCCTCTGCGCCCCGGGAGTGGCTGCAGCAGCCAGCTCCTCCCCCGGGCTCCCAGAGCCGGGGGAAACCTAGTCTCCCCGCCCTCCCCGCCCCTCCCCACCGCACTCCCGCCTCCAGCCTGGGGGCTTCCCACGACCCCCGGATGGGGCGGGGCAGGGGCAGGAGGGTCCGCTTCCTGCAATTCTGCAGCCGCAGCTCTACCCTTGGAAGATGGAGACAGTGGAGGTTCCAGGATTTCTATGTGGGCTTAGGGGCCGCCATCTAGTGGGAAGGGGCCTAAAGTACTCGTTCTCCGGCTGGTTCACAGAGCATTGGACTCTCAATTGTCTACACCAACCGGAATGCTCAGACCTGGAGAAGGACAGCAAGGGCTTTCTTCAGGAGCCTATTTTCCCACCAAAATAAGTATCCCATCCCTCCGCCACCCCAACCCAGCAGGCGAGTCCAGAGGCATGGGATGGCACATTGATTTGTCATGGGCTTGGTGCGCTCTAGAGCAGACACCCTGAGCTCAAATTCACACTCTACCCAGCTGTGTGACTTGGGCAAAGTGAGCTCACCTTTGAGTGTCTGACTTTCCCCATCAGTAAAAATGGGTTGATTATAGTACTTATCTCATAGGGTTCCTATAAAGAATGAGTTAATGTATGGACCTGAATTGATTACTGACACATATATCACTGGATAAATGATGGTATTTGCTACAAGTGAACCTCAGATCTCCTAAACTGAACTTAAAAACTCTTTAAGAACACAGTCCCAGACCGGGTCTGTGGACACAGGCACAGTACCGCTACTGGCCTGGGTGCGCCGGCCTGTCTATGCCTTCTAACTCAGCATTCAAGCTGCAACCCATCTCCCCACTCTCCCTCCAACCCCCACCCCCGGCCTCCTGCCGGGTTCACATGTGCCCTTGGCTAAACTGAAAAGCCAAGACTCTAATCAAAAGCACACAATTCCATACTTCCAACATCTGCTATCCAGAAGGAATATCTCTAAATTTTCTCTTGTAAGTGCCTTGGCTGCAGAAGTGGCTGGCTATTTTATCTTCGTATCCTCTTCCCAGAGCCAAATACAGCGCCTGGCCCACAGCAGGAGCTCCATGAAGTTGTGCAACCCATTTCACGAATTCTTCAGGCAGATCCTATACTGAGTTTCTCCTATCTTTCAGGCCAGCCCTGGCCTGGGCACTTTCTCTCTGTGCCTGTCTTGTCTGTCTCCCCCTCTTTTTTGAAGAATGAGAATTGAAAAGGAGGTAGGGGCACAGCATTGTACTCCTGCTTGAACTCTACACATAGGACCAGGGGGCATTTTATATTAAACCTTCCTTTAATGTCATTTGAAATTTCAAAACTAAAATACAAAACTATGATAACTTTAAAATGTGCTTTTGCAAACTCACCCGTCCGCTGAGAATTTTCTGAAACACAAGAGGCTTCCTTCCTAACTCTGACCCTTTCCACTCCTCACTTAATTTAAAACAGGATTCCCTGTTCTGTATCTATGAAGCCCCCCACCCTGACTGTCACCTTAGCCCTGTCCACGGTCGTTGCAGAAGAGTCGTAACTTCCCTGAAAGGGAACTGTGTCCCTGTTGTTCTCTACCTGAGTGTGAATCAGAATCTCCTGGAAGGCTTGGTAACAGGCAGTGATGGACCCCACCCTTACGGTTTCTCATTCAGTGCCGTGAGGATGGGGCTGGAGAATGTGTGTATTTTGTTTTGTTTTTTTCAAGATTTTATTTATTTATTTATGTATTTGCCAGAGAGAGAGAACAAGGGGGCACAAGCAGGGGGAGTAACAGGCAGAGGGAGAGATAGCAGCAGACTGCCCGCTGAGCAGAGAACCCGATGCCAGACTTGATCCCAGGACCCTGGAATCATGACCTGAGCCAAAGGCAGATGCTTAATCGACTGAGCCGCCCAGGCACCCCAAGAATTTGCACTTCCAGCAAGTCCTCAGGTGCTGCTGCTGCTGCTGCTGCTGCCTCCACAGGTCTGGGAGCCTGAACTTTGAGAAGCGTTGGTGCGGAGGAAGGTCAGTGGGCCCAAAGAACTATCTCCAGGGACCGTCCATAGTGTGTCCCAGCTGATGAAGAATCTGTTCAGCAGCGAGAGAGGCCGGGCTTGAGTGACAGGCTCGCTCTAACTCAATTCACAAACGGTTTCCTGGTAAGTGCCTATTTATGCTATAATGGCCACTGGGTCCTGGTTGGCACATTCTCCGCCAGGGCCACTTCAGGTGGGAAGCCATATCCTGAGGAGAGTAACTGTCTGCCGGGCAGTGGTGTTGGGGCTGGAGACTGGACAAGCCCCAGCTCTCTGGCCTTCCTTCTGTTCTGCTGAAACCAGTCAGTCAGCCGCTGGCTTCCTACTCCCTCCATCTCGGAGGCATGGAGGCCCTTCTCAAGCGGGTTTCGGGATCCCCCCAGCCACCCGCTTACAGAACAGCCTCTTAGAGATGCAGAAAGCACGGCTTTAAAAATAATCCTTCCATTCATCCCTTTAACATTCAGTAAGTACTCCTCAAGGGTTTACTTAGGTGGCCGGCCCTCTTCCAGGCTCAGGGAAACGGTAGCGAACAAAACAAAAATCCTTACGCTCCGGGAATTTGTATTCTGGCCAGAGAAGACAGACAAGAAAGAAAGAAGTGTAACGAATGCCCAGGGTGGCAGATGGTAACAGGTTCTGGAACACTGCAGAAAGCAGGGAGAGGGACGGGGAATGTGGCCTTCACCGCCTTCCCTGGAGCTGTTTCAGCGAGTGCGGTTCTCAGTCCTGGCTCCGAAGGGCTCTCCGACCCCGGGCAAGCCCTCTCTAATCTCAGAGTCTTTCTTCTCATTTGCAGGATGGAGGTCACGTGTTGTGAGATGAACAGAGAAAATCCTGCAAAGCCATGGTCACCAATAAGGGTCTGACATATTTATTTTTATTTATTGGTTAAATGATCACTATGGGCAGCATGGTTCCAAGCACCTTAGTTAACTCACTTAACTAATGTTAGTTACTTTCCTTTCCCATCCTCCCGAGTGAGACTCTCCTGGTTCAATGAATTCATTCATTATGCGGGGATTCTTAGGTTCAACTTCGTCTCCAGGCTCTTGAGACTTTTTCTGTGGCATCCTCCGTACAGAGAGTTCTCGCCTTCCTTTCCCCCTCCCCTCTGCCTCAGGCCCTTGCTTTACCTGCACACTAGGTCTTTGAAGCTTGCCAAACCCTGTGTGTGTCCTAACACCACGGCAGTCACGTGGGCAAGTTCACGCTTAGACCCAGCAGGCATGAGAGGGGCACCTGCCATGTTCCAGGCTCCGGGATAGGCCAAGCAAAGGAAACCAAGTCCTTATTCCTGTGCAACAAACCTGAGAGTGGAGACTGGAAGTTCACAAGTCAAAAAATATATTACCAGAATAAATTCGAAGAAGGATAAGTGGTGTGAAGTGGGGGGAGCTAAGATCTAAATAAGGAGAAGGAGCAAGCCATGCGGAGCTCCGGGAAGGGGGCATTCTAGGCAATGGGAACATCATATGCAAATGGCCTGAGGCAGGAACAACTTGGAACACTCTGGGAACAGAATGAAGGCCAGTGTGGCTACAGCACAAGCAGAGAAGAACAGGGGATGGAGAGGATGGGGGGGAGGGACTGCTGGGAAGAGGCCAATAAAGTAGGACTTGGGCAGGAAGTTTGGATTCTTCTCTTTGTTACTCCTAATGTGGTCCAAGATTCCTGCATTGCCTGGGAACTTGTTAGAAATGCAAGGTCTCCAGCCTCATCCCAGAGCAGCTGAATCACAGCCTGGATTTTAGCAAGACCCCCATTTGACTTGAGTGAGTGTATGTTCAAGTTTTAGAAGCATAGCTCTCTAAGTACGTGTAAAGAAAGCCACATTCCTAGCAATTTTAAGGGTTTTAAAACATCTCTCAAACCCCATGAAGCGTGGATGTGAGAGAGGCAGGGGTCCACAGCAGCGGCACTGGTTTTGAGACTGTTGCAGTGGCCCAAGTGAGGTCCCAGGAGCAGAATGAAGCCTAGGAGTGCGAGGAGGATACGGAAGAAATAGACGGGATGCCCGACAAGCCCAAGGGTTGGATGTGGAAGGAGGAAAGAAACGGTTTGGGCCATCTTGGCCACTGACTCCCCCCCACCCCAGGACACTGGGGGAACACTGTCAGAGGAGCCTTACCCTGCCTTCAGGGGTGGCCACACCCACTCGCCCCATTCCCACCTCCAAGCCCAGTGGTCTCAGGACTGACAGGTAGGTGTCTGATTTCTCTTAGAACCTAGGGGTTGGGTGAGCCTGGTGGTGGGTATTAAGGAGGGCACGTATGGCATGGAGCACTGGGTGTGATGCATAAATAATAAATCTTGGAACACTGAAAAAACAAAATAAAGTTTAAATATCAAAAAAGAAAAAAACAAGAATCTAGTACAGGAGAAGCTTTGTTTTCATGGATTTTACCCTCAATCAAACTATCCAGGAAATGCACGGAGTAACCCTGGAGAGATGGACTCTGTTATCTGTTGCCGGCGCTCATTCATTCATTCTTTCATGCATTCACCAAAGGTTCACTGAGCCAATATGCAATGTGCTATGCCTTGTGCTAGCCCTGGGTGCAGAACAGTAAGTGATACATCACTTTATAGTCTATAAATAGACTCTCTTTTGAAAGGAAAGCTCACAGTCACCTGTGCTGTGCTTCCTAAGGCCCGTGCCATCTTGCTCGCCATCTATAAAACCCCACGGGAGCCCCGTTGACCTCAAGGTGAAGTATGAATTCCTGAAACAAGGCCCACAAGGTCCTTCATTCCCAGGGCCCACTGCCCTGTCCAAGTTCATGGGCCCCTCAAAGCTTTTTTTGCGTCAATGTCCCAAT